ATATATATATATATATATATATATATATATATATATATATATATATATAATATCGCTAATCAGTTAGGCGGTGCTGTAAAACGTCAGGATTTCGAGTGTCATCTCGACGAACATCAACAGTACTTTTTAGCCCCAGAATTCGATTATGCCTCGTTGGCAGAGTTATCAAGATTGTTACAAGAGCACAAGATCAATTTGATATTCGCTGTGACGGAAAATTTGCTTGATGAATACAAGGAGACCGTCAAATTGTTGAAGGAAAAAGCAAGGGTCGCGATCTTGACAAGCGACAGCTCAAACATTCTGGATATCATTGAGAGTTCGTATCATCAAATTACATCCAAAGTGATTTTAAAAGACAATTCATCTAGCCCATTGAAAATGAAATATTTTTCAAATTGCGGCAAGGGAAATGTTTCGACATGGAACATTGCCGAATGCGATGGTATAGAGAACGGGAAGGTATACGATTTCCAGGTTGTTCTATCTTTCGATCAATGTCCAAAAGATGAGAATCTATGGGTACATAAAAAAAAAATTATAAATAACTAATGCAAAATTCGATATTCGTTTATATTAATTACACGAGAACATTACAACTTTTTATCAGAAACAAACAGTTATAATCGAGGATGCATTGGCTTCTGAAGCATCAAAAATAATAATTGACATTGAACTTTTGTGCGGTTGCAATTGTAAAAATATTGAAAATTCTTATTGCGAACACGGAACGAACGAATGCGGCTTATGCCAATGCGACTTTGGTTGGTCCGGTAAGAAATCTTGATTCGTTTTCTTTTTTTTTCTTCAAAAGTGAAAGTTTCTTTTAATACCTTTTAACATTTGGATGGATCTGTAGGCGAAGTATGCGATTGCGACAAAACTTCACCGATAAATAATATACAACAGTGCATTGAACGTAATACGACCAAGATATGCAATGAGAGGGGGGAATGCGTTTGTGGAAAATGCTTCTGCGACGAAGGGTACAAAGGAAAATTTTGTGAATGTTCTCCATGCGATAAGGTGATCAGGATTCGTTAAATATTCAATCATATTATATTGTATCATTGTTTCTGATCGTCTTCTCTTTATAGATAGATGGAATCGAATGTTCGAATAAAGGTACTTGCCAATGTGGTATTTGCCAATGTATAGACGGTTGGAAAGGAAACGCTTGTCAATGTCCATCAACTGACGATCTCTGTATCGCACCAGGAAGTCAAGAAGTTTGCGCCGGTAACGGATACTGTGACTGTGGAGAATGTCGGTTCGTATGTAAAATCGATACTTTGTAAAAAGATTTTTTTCTTTTTTCCATTGAGAAATTTCTTTCGTTCCAAAGAATTGTTAAATGCAATTTTCAGATGCAATGTCACCGCTACAAATGGATTTAAATATCGGGGTAAATACTGCGAGTCATCGATAAGCAGTGGTAGCAGTAGCCTCTGCGTTCTTTATGATGGATGCGCCAATGCTACAATTGAAAATCCAGATAAAGCAAACGAATTTTGTCGAACGAATAACATCACTTACAATATTGAAAGAGTAAAATCTATCGATAAAGGTGAATTAAATAAAAGATCGCTATGTTAGATAATATGTTAAGTAATATAAATTCATAATATGAATTAATATTTATTTAAGGAAATGAACATTACTGTTTCGTGAAATCGGTGAAGGAAGAAACGACTTGTTTCATAAATTACATATATGAATTTAAAAAAAATAACGTTATTTTGAAAATTGAAAATAAGGTATGTATTTATATTTGTAAATATTATTATAATTTTTTTGTATTATAATTTTTTTTGTTTAAATCTATTAGCTATGTCATACTCCGATAAATGCAGCAGTTATTGGATCCATAATTACCATCGCAACATTATGTTTCGGATTCATTTTGCTACTAATTTGGAAGTAAGAATTACATGATAAAAATTAATTCAATTATAATTTATTGAAAATGAAAATTCATTCATTATTTAATGAATACAGATCTTGGATTTCTATAAAAGACAAGAGGGAATATGAGAAATTCAAAATAGAGCAAAAAAAGCATACTAAATTGTATCAAAATCCTTTGTTTAAACCTGCCACGAGTTATTATCAAGTTCCATCAAGATCGGAAGAAAATTGAAAGAATAAACACATTCTCGATCAATTTGATTCATTTTGATCGAAAGAATTACTGGAGTAAGTGGCACTTTGGTCAGATATATCAGTCCAAAAATGATTTCCAGCGAAAAACGTAATGGACTGCAACATATGAATTTTTTTAATTTAAATATGAATTATTAATATTTTTTACTTTTTATTATTAAATATTGATATGTTTGATTTAAAGATCAACAAATTTTTTTACATCTATTGATAAGTCTTCGACTATCCACGCGAATCCAAGAGGTTCTTTGTAAATAACATTTGTAGATGGTATGTTATTATGCCATATGGCTTTAATGGAGGATTTATCGGGAAATATATACGTTCCTAGACCATTCATTATTCCATTTGAATCAATTTTACCTTGATATTGAGCATCATTATTATATCTTAAATAACAAATTTTATATCAATTTAATTATTTTTAAATCATAAAATAAATTGTATTACTTAATATGAATATCAGCATTAGCAAATGTATCATTATCCCAATCACCATCATAAACATCAAAGTTATCAGTAATATATGTTCCTCTACCTAAATAAAGAATTCGATTAACAGCATTTGAATAATAAACAATGTTTTACGAACATTACCTTGCTTAATTAATTGAAATCGATCATTATTTATTTTATATTCTCCATCATAAATATCTCCGTTCCAAAATGTGAATTTTCCTTTATGTTCATTTTGATTTATAATTTTGGAATTATTTATGTTCATTAATTTGATTTCATTTGGTTTTTTCATTTCAATTTTTTTACAATTTAATTTCCAAATTCCTTATATTCTTATATTTTCTTAAATAAAGAAAAAAAATATTAAATTTAAAAATTTGATAAAAAGAAATAAATGTTGATAAAACATTAAGTTCTTTTATTTGCCGTTGATATTAGCGCTGAATTAAACTATAAATCAGACTATTTTGACTTAACGAATCACAGTATCTGTTTTATTTCATCAATGACATGGTTGGTTATAAGCCAGAAAACCTTGACATAAATTTTCATTTAGTCACCAACAAAAAACGATCTTGTACCTCAATTTATTTTTTTATTTTTTTCTTTTCTTCCATTTTATAATTCGAAATAAATGATTTCCCGCTTTTGAAAACTACCTTTAAATTTAAAATCACGTAACCTTGTAAACGACCTCTAATTTGGTATTGGTATCGCTACTTTCTAGTCGTGTTTTACAATAACCCATACATCATTGTCACGCTTCGAACACGTTCCTCGTTCAGAGTGTTCAAGCAAAAGTTCAAATTAATATCAAATTTCTTACGACTTTTTACTAACACTGGTACAATAAAGGATTCTCCAATCATTCAAGATATGATACGAACGACAACGGGTGTACGTAATGAATTGGCACGTACAATATTACGAAGTTCTGTACGAACGAATATCGTAAGATCTGTAGTCATACGATGTCTTCACAGAAAATATCTACAAAGGTATTTCATTTTGTGTTATTATCATATTTGCTCATCAATTTAGGTTTTTTCATTAAGTTTTTTAAATAAGATTTACATTGCTAATTATGATTAAGGTTATCTTAACTAATATTTCCTATATCATTTTATTGAAAGTTTCCCAATATGATATTTCCACCTGTTATTGGCAAACATAATTAAAATCATATATATGAAGTTTTTACAAAAATTTTAATTTAATTTTTAATTTTAAAAATAATTTTGTTACATTTGATTCAATTGGTTTTTTTTTCATTTAAAATATGTATTATAGATTGTTATTTACATTAAAGATAAGATTGAAAAATAAATTTTATTCTATTCTTTAATTTCAAACATTTTTAGAATAAATTACTGCTTTTTGGTTGGTATTTAGAATTCAGGTTCATAATACTTTACATCTTTCGATAACTCCATGGAAGCAACAATTAAGATTTTATGCAGATTATCCAACCCATATAAAAGTACAACTTCCTGCATTATCACCTACTATGGAAACAGGTACCCTTGTCAGTTGGCTCAAAAAAGAAGGTAATATGAATAATTTATTATATCATATAAAACCATTAATAATTCTTAATAAAAACACCTTATAATTTTATAACTTTAGGTGATAAATTGAATGAAGGTGATTTACTTGCTGAAATTGAAACGGATAAAGCAACAATGGGCTTTGAAACACCAGAGGAAGGGTATTTAGCAAAGATTCTAATACCTGCAGGAACAAAAAATATTCCTATTGGCAAATTAGTTTGCATAATTGTCGCAGATGAAGGTAGTATTGCTGCCTTCAAAGATTTTAAAGATGATGCTCCACCACCACCATCACCAGTTTCACCAACACCAACACCAACACCAACACCACCTACTCCTGTTGCTGCTCCACCATCAATTGCTGCTCCTATACCAACTACTCCTACTCCACCAATTGCTCCCCCATCTATTGTACCATCACCTACAGTACCTTCTGTCCCACTGCCAGAAACTAGAATATTTATTAGTCCATGGGCTAAAAAACTTGCAACTGAGAAAGGTCTCAGTTTGGAGGTAATTTTATATATATATATTATAATAATAAACTCATAGATTTTATTATTTTATTTAATTTAAAAACTTAAAATAAATAAATTTTTTTTGAAGGGTATAAAAGGCACAGGATTATATGGAAGCATAACATCTAAAGATTTAGAAGGTGCACCAGCTTTAACTGCAGTTCAACCTGCAGTAGTACCTACAGTAGCACCTACAGTAACACCAGTTTCACCTGCAGTACTCGCAGAAGGAGTTGATATTCCTGTGTCTAATATTCGCGCAATAATTGCAAAACGTTTACTAGAAAGTAAACAAACAATTCCACATTATTATTTGACAGTAGATATAAAAATGGATGCTGCTCTTGAAATGCGAGAGCGATTTAATAAAATATTGGAAAAAGAGAAAGTAAAACTTAGTGTAAATGATATTATCATCAAGGGAATGGCAATGGCTTGCAAAAAAGTACCTGAAGGTAATAGTGCATGGTTGGGAGAAGTCATTAGACAGTAAGTAATAAGTAATTATTATTACTAACAGAAATTATAATTATATATATGCTCTCAATTTAATATTTTCTGTTTTTTTAGATATAATAGTGTTGATGTAAGTGTAGCAGTAAGTACAGATACAGGTCTAATTACACCAATAGTTTTTGGAGCAGATACAAAAGGTATAGTTCAAATAAGTAAAGATGTAAAAGTATTAGCGACGAAAGCAAGAGAAGGAAAATTACAACCACAAGAATTCCAAGGAGGAACTATTACTGTGTCAAATCTAGGAATGTTTGGCATTAAAAACTTTTCTGCTATTATAAATCCTCCTCAATCGATCATTCTAGCTGTAGGTTCAACTGAAACAAGATTAATACCTGCCAAAAATGAGAAAGGTAAAATTTTTTTTCTAATTTCTTTTTATTTAATCTCTTTTATTTTATTTCTTATTAATTTATTTTTTAGATATACAAGTTCTCAATTTATGTCTGTAACTGCCAGTTGCGATCATCGTACTGTAGATGGTGCAGTAGGTGCACAATGGTTATCAGTCTTTAAGGATTTTATGGAAAATCCAACATCTATGTTATTGTAGTAAATTCAACCATTAAAATATTCAATTGGGTAGTTAGTAAAGATGCAAATCATATGAAAAATATTGTATACATGGAAGGCAAAGACGAATATTCTATATATGTGTATAGATATTACGTCACATATTTGAAAATCATCAATTTTTGATAAATTTGAATTTTCAAAGATCTTTTATGTAAAAGTATCATTGAGATATAATTCAGCTATTGAAGTGAACATTTTAATAATAATGATAGAATTTTTTTAGTCTTTTCTAGAAAATTTAAATTCATATTATATGTGGTTTTTAATTGAATATGAAGTAAAAGACTGCCAATAATTTAATTAATTACAAAAAAAGTATTTTGTAATCAATTTAAATAAAAATTGCATTACTTTATTATTCATATAAAAAACCACATTTTCTCAGCAATAGTAATGACTATATGTAAATATGTATTTATGAAATTTATATATATATATATATATATATATATAATATATAATATAATATATATATTA